AGCAGAGAACAAGACTGAAGGTAAAAGCAGGAATTTACTTTTTTCCCCTAATTTAAGTTATTCTAATTTTACCTGAACAGGACATCAGCAAACAAATAATTTACTTCCATATGGTAAACTTATATAGGCCCAGAAACACTTTCCTCTGGGCCTAGATTGGCATACTACTGTCAGCCATGCAGTCAACCACCCCGACTCAGAAAATAATCCAGCTAACATGGTGATGTAACAGGACACATCATGCAGAAAAGCTCCAAACAAAAACAAAGAAAAAAGCCATGATACATCCAGCTGCAACTAGTCAGAATATGCTAGGTATGCATCAGCTGGCTGTACCCAGATGTACTTGCATCTTCAGACCCAACTAGTGTCCCTACATTATACTGCCCAGCACCGTGGAAGGGTTCAGCGGCGCCAGGAAAGCCTTCTCACCGTACTTCGTAACGGTCACTGCAGCAAAGACAAACGGGCAACATCCTGCTCCTGAGACACACCCTCGACTCCCATCAGTAACCAAGGACAGACACCTACACACTACTTTTTGAATTGCTGTCACCACCTTCCACACAGCTTGGCACAGCCTTCCCCCAGCTCTTCGCCCTTCAGTGTAACAAAGCATCCCCCATCTGTCAGTTCTGTGTCAGGACTCCACCAACACAGCACAGAAGTACCACCATAGATCATTGTCCCCTTTTTCTCCCCCAGAACACTTCCTACACCAGCTCAATAATAGGCTTCTGCAGTGAAGTCCCTGGTAAAACAGGTCTGCAAAGCTCTGGACCTCTGACTGCCCACAGCTACTCCTTGTGATAGAAAGCAGCCCAGTACAACTACTGTTCCACAGATCTGACACCCAGCCTCTCTGAATCTAAATTGGTCAAGCCCTTGCTTAGCTTCTCCTGAGTGAGGACAGCAGCAGCCTGGCTTCCCTAACACATAGTCATAGCCCAAGAACAAGAAGCAGCATTTGCCAAGGTCCTGTGGTCTCCCACACAGCTGCAGATGAAGGTGGTGTGAACCATGGAGTCACTGAGATGCCATCCAAATCCAGCTTTACAGATCACCCACTGGTCATCCCCAATATGCCATCAAAAATCATCAAGCCAAAGAGAGCTAAGCAGAAACTGCAGTCAACACACACTGCCTCAAACCAAAGACAATGTGAAAGAACTGAGCCAATGGCTCATCTTGCACCATTTTCATGCACTTGGTCCATTACATGAGAATAGACATAAATCAAGGAGACGCTGCTGACAAAACTTCAGAGGTTTCAGATTCTGGATGCATACAACGTACCCTTGGAAAGAGACTTTAAAATCCAGAAGAATTGAGTCTCAAAGGTAAAATCTTGTTCCTTACATCCCTATAGAGTTACAAAATGTAACTCCATATTATTTATCTTTATTGATAAAAGTGAGAGCCAGGACAGAAAAAAAAATATTGCAGAACATTTTCCGCTATTTATTGTGCCCTGCCAAGACTTCCATCTGATTTTCAGTCAATTTAAATGCCATCCTTAGTGAACTATTCTGGCCCTCTCAGTATTTTGTTGGCAAGTACAAGACACACAAAATGAAAAACTTTGTTTTCTACAGTTCTCTGAACTGTAAATACCTAAATCATTCATTTTCATTCTTCCACATAAGCATCCTGTTCAATGTATTCAGTCTACACCAACAATAATTTTATACCTGCAAGCACATATTCTAACTCTAGTTGGAGTCTTTAAATGTTTTCCCCGTTAATGATATGCAAATTACTGGCATTAAAACCAGAATCTCTCTGAAGTTATTTAAATCTCAAATATTTCACTTGATCTACTTTTCCCCAAGCTTCAGCTATGTGGATAGCTTGAGCAAAATTGTAATCAGAACAACTTAAAATAATCACAACAGCAGTTGTTAAAACATCAGGGCACAGTAAGACTCAGAGGAACTGTATAAGATAACCAGAAGTCTGATTTTAGATCGCTCCACTAAGTTTGTGACAGTTGACACAGCTACAGCGCAGAGGATTGCGGATCCTCTGGAAAACACTTCAGCTCACAGACAGTTGGAAGACAAACCAGTATTTCTCATAAAAAACTAGTAGAGCTTTCCCATGTTGTGTTAGGGACTGCAGTGCAAACCAGAATCCAAAAGAGCAAAAGATGTACCTCTTTCCACAGAGCTTCTCAGGGAAACAGCGTACATCTCACCCATTATTTATTAGATACTTGACAGCACTTAAGACTATGCTTTCAGTATCAAAAAAACAAACAAAGGAAGCAACTTCTTCTCTGTGGCAGAGGTGACAATCCTATAATCCTGCTGTCAGCCTAAATAGCTGCATTTGCCACTTCCTCATGTAGTACTTGCATAAATTAGATTTTCAGTTCAGAAACACACTATGACAAAAAAAACATGTTTACCGAGGAGAACCTGCAAGTTGATCAAGGTTTCCAATAGCTTGTGCTGAATCAGCCACACTGTTTTTAGAGATTATTTCTAAATCAGTAGCACTTAGGCAATTCAGTGCTCTAATTTTTCTCTTAAACAACTACACGAAAAACTCATTCCCAGTTACAAACAACTACTTTCGCTCTGCTTCATAGCCATCTGCATTACCAAAGTACCATAGTACCAGTCTGCACCAAGATCCATAAAGGGATTGTAGAGATAAGGCAAATCTACATTACTTGCATAAAATTTCTATGCAATAGATGGTTATAGTACACCAATGTGTCTCAAAGACAAAAGTTTTAGTCACTTTCATGAATACTAATTTTTCTCTCAAAACATAAAATTCAGGATAAGTAGCTAAATTGGGAGGAAAAAAAATCTAATTTAATTTTCTAGGTAGAAAAGCAACATTAAGATGTGTAGCCATAGCTAAATTCAGCTGAAATTCCACTGATACCATCTAATTAAAAGGAGGCAAGCAAATATTATACAAGGGACAAAGAAGAGGGATGCAAGCACCAGGAGCTAACAACTACATTTCACTGCAACTATTTTCAGAGCCTACACTGGAAAAAAAAAAGTATACAGCCAGTACAGAAAAACAATTTTAAAATATTTTTAAACAGGTTGCGCAGGTGATTAAGCCAAATCTTAGTATTAAGAACTGTATACCTACCCCTTCTGGTTTAGACACTGTGCCCTCTATAGCAGCACTGAGAACAGAAAGGGGTGTGAAATACACGAATAATAAGTGATTTGAAATATATCTGCATGGAGCAGACAGTGCATGTCCTAAACTGTAAGTTGGTTTTATGCTCATTTTGACATGCCAGTCTTACCAAAACTGCAATTTGTAAGCGAGTACACCCTACTACTTAAGCAAATGTACAATGAATGCAAATTACTTCTGTAGCCCAGGAACTCATACTGAATTTATATTTAAAGTGCAATTAGGACAAGAGCTAAAACTCTAACCCCAACTAAGCCCACAAGTTTAACTGTTCAAAAGTAGAAACAAAGCCTAATCAGATGCTGGCATTCAGCCAGTGTCTGCAGCCACAGAATCACAAGAGAGTTGCAAGGGGCTCCCCAACAGAAGAGACAAGTCTATTTAGGGCAAAAGCTCCGGTAAATTATTTAAATGCCTATTTCTCCGTGATAGGCAGCTCCATTTCCTGTTTCTCCCTTCCACCTCTGAGGCCACAAAACCAGTCCGATAACTATTTCAGCAACAGTGCATCTCTGTTGGTATCCCAAGGCAACCAAGCAGATCAGTTATGTGGTGGCCAGATAGATGAGTAGACTTCCCTCTGCCCTTTTCCTCTCCCCCTCTCCATTGTCTCCATAGCACATTTAGGAGAGAACTACTGTTTTCCTTTCTACTCAGTGAATCTCTGTGACCCTGCAAGTCAGACAGCTATTGCCTCAGCAGCACACCTGTGAGTGTGGCAAGTACTACACAGGATAGTATTTGCTATTCACACAGTGCCAACCTTCTCAGTTCTGCAGTCTAGATGAATGTCCCCTGTTTGCAACCATGGGTCGCTGAGCTAAAAGTGAAGCCATTCTCTGGAAAGTAGATCAGAAGTAAAAACAAGAGAACAGCAAGAACTTCTGAGATAATGACTTTATCTGTTACATGTAGGATTTTCTCCCTGTTCTGAGCTCAGCTAACAGCCTTTGCATTGGAATTTTGTAGCTCCACAGTCTGACTTAGCTTTTCATTTTTCCTTGCGTATCTCCAGCTTAGCGCTTTTAAACAGATCATGACACATCACTGCAGTTATAAAATAAACTTCTGATTTGTAAAATCCCTTCAAAACTTCTTTTTCACTGCTTTTCTGTTAAGTCTAGTACCTCTCAATAAAAAGATATTAGTGTAAGAGCAAATAACAATAAAGTAATTTCAATTAGTAGTATGGTAGTCAATCCATAACAGCCCGAGATGCTGCATTAACTTCTCTCACTGTTGTTCATTGCAAATGACAGATACAACAATCTTAACTACACCCAAGGAGGAGAAGAATGCCAAAACTTCTCCTTGATGCAGCAGGAAGGTGGAGACAGAACAGGCTTTGCAACCAAGACAAACCAATGCCTGCTGATTCTTGGAAATGTTGGCCCAAACACCAATGAAGTTGGTTTAGGTGGAGTTAGTTTTCACCCTTTTTTCTTTTACTTCAGCCAGTTATCTTTTATTTACATTTTTAACAGCAGCTAAATTCAAAGTAAGTCATTACTTGCAGCTCAGCTGTTAGTATTTTTATACATTAATTAACTTTTGGCTATAAAAATGCCCTCTTTTCCAACAGTTTGAGTTTGCCTCAGACATACAAAAGTATATGAAACAACTGGGGGGGGAAAAAAAAAAAAACAAAAAAAAAACAAAAAAAAAACAACCCATGAGTTAAATCAGAGTTCCTAAAAAAGCCAATTAATTTCTACTTCTTGGTCTATTTCCAGTACAAAGAAGATCGCTTTGAAGTCAGAGCACTATTAATTCACAGAGTTTGAGGATGAATGTGTTCTTTCAAACTACTAAAGTGAACATTTTCTTACCAATGAAACCCAGCTGAGAAAACTCTAGAATCATCCAATCTTCAGAAGCAAGCTGCAGTGCAAAATTTTTTATTGTGCTGAAATAATTCTGCTTGACAACGATGTCATCTTCAAGCTAGAGGAAGGTAGCAGTGACATCAACATAAATAAAAAACACCAGCAAAGCAACAGAAAAAAGTACAGCTAGGAAATACTGATTTATAATATACTGCTAATACATAGCCACATATTTGTAATGCAAGTGCTGCTATAAAACCTAGATGCTATAGCCAAGAATAATTATTGTCAGAATCACAGTCTATTTGTGGAGAACTAACCCAGAATCTTTCTCTAGTAAGAATCCACAAATGTATCTCAACTTTTTATTTCAGAACATTGCTTTTCTAGCTTCTCTCTTCAGAGAAAAATCATCCAGAAATAATGCTAGACTAAATGAAATAATCAGTAGAACAAGTAGAATATCTGTATTATTTGTATGCAGACGTGACTCAGTTTCCTCACACACCTAACAGCACTGAGAATTTCTCCTCCGAGACAAGAAGCTGAGACACATTGTCTAGAGAGGTAGGATTCATTTCACTTGGCTTTAGCTGTCCAACAGAACAGGTGCATACTCCAAACTAATCATCTAGTCTGGGCAGCAGAACTGACAAGATGTGATGCAACATTCCCTTCAGCTCACAGTAAGGCCACTACTTTAAGGATCCTGCGTCTCCTGTCCTTTCTTCCACTTCATGGAAGAATTCATGTTCTCCCCCTTGTGCTGGCACAAATATTTGTGCGACTGCCTCGTTTCAAAAAGACTGTCTCATGTTATTGACTGTGCAGCTTCCAGGACAGCTGAGTCTCCAATAACTCTCCAAGAGCAGTCAGCATAGCTCTGTAGAAACTGGATGAGATGAGTGCAGCATTATACCCAAAGGACACAGTCCCAAAATTTAAATAAAGATCATAAGTGCAGTTACTCACTAAATCTGCAATACTGAGGCAAGGCTTCTACTCAAAGCAGCAAAACAAGATAGGAATAATTCTGAGCTAAACTAAATTTAAGGAGAATTGCTTTACTCTGTTCTTGAAAACCACTTTAAAAAAAGAAAAAAGAAAACAAGTCTAACAACACACTGGAAATGTATCTATACACAGCAGTCATAGTAAAGTGATGCTGCGCTTGCCTTCAAAAGAAAGTAAAAATGGATATTAGCTCAAATTCCACCCAAAACTATGCTGGTGTTTTTTGCCTAGGTGACTCAACAGTAACTCATTTTGGGGACAAGGAAAAAAAAAAAAAAGTTGTTAAGCTGTCTGCATTCCTTCACTTTTTTACTGAGCATCTTAAGATGAAAATTCACATAGGACAAATTACTTCCTACTTCAGAGACAGTGTCCTCCACAGATTAGTTCCTCATATACCATAACCTCCATACTTAATGCCCTCCTTCAACTAGGGAATCAAGTTATCTCTGTTCCGTGTAGATCATTCTGGTGAGTACAACAGCATAATTTCTGGAGACTCATTTGAAAACTTGTCTCAAAACAAAGAAGAGAAATTTACCTGAATGTAATAAACTCCCTTTTTCTGGGCATACATCATAAGAAAACAATAATCCAAGTTTTGTTTTGTTCTCCATCTGAAATTAAATTAAAATCTTAAGGATTATGAAAAAAAGTTATCCCATTACAAGCTGGCAATGCAAAGTAAATCTCACTATGAAGAATGACAAAATTAGTGAAATGTTAGGACTAATGTTATTAGTGAAATGTTAGGACAGCTGCCTTTGGCACTGTTCTCTCAGGAAATCCTCTGTCTGAAAGAAAGGAACAAAGCTTTAGCCTTATGCTTTAATATAGACATAAACCTGGTTTTACTTGAATCTGATTTTCTGAAAATTAGCTGACATTTCATTAAAAAAAGTTTGAATGGTAATTAAAAAAAGCAGGAATTACTGCATTTTACACTGAATTTCAGGAAGAAAAAGTAAACAAAAAAGTCTACATATAGCAAAAAAAATATATCAAGTCTCATTTCTCCCCAAAATTAACACTAAATTAGTTCAACCAAGACTAGCAGTAGGCTCTGATCATGCACGGAGCAGCATGCAGATAGAAATGAGATGGATTCACAAAGAACTTTTAGCATCCCCATACTTTCAAGAATTACAGTAAAAACATCTCAAGAATTCACATCCCACTTGCCATTTCATAAACAACAACAGTGTGGATGTGGGAGGAGATGAGAAAAGATCTGGGGGAACAGACTAACCTCACTCTCTCTTTTGAGTCTCCAAACGTCTCTTTCAAGTTTGTCAAGTCAGGATAGTAAGTTGCAGGAGGGGCTATTACTTCCACCAAGCCAGAACTGATCTCTGTAGAAAACCTGTCAATAGAAACATCCTAAAGTCACATGACAGATTCTGAGTTCTGTAGACTTCCTCCTTTCTTTCTGTTGGCACAGTTATTATATCTGGTTACAACAACGACTTATTCAAATGAGACATGTAAAATAAAAGTGCTACTTAAAAAAAATATTTTTTTCCTTAGCATCTTCTTCAGAGCAGTACAGTCTCTTGCCCAATAATCAGAACTCTAACTAGATTCTAAACATTTATTTTGCTTTTCTTTTTTTCTGAACCTACTGATTTTTTTTCTATAGCTCTCTTTGAACATATGGAATAACAGGCCCTAACACAGGTGTCACAAATTTCCATCTGTTTATGTTACACCAAATAATTTAATCCCACTTGTTGTTTTATAATTTAACTGAATCGCTGCTCCTTAATGTGTCATCTCTTACTTTGTTGTTCAAAAGGCCAAATCCCCAAGAAACAAAAATGTGTGGTCTCATACTTCTTATTACTTATCACAACCTGACTGAAGAAAAACCAAAAAGCAAACCCACTGATAAGCTAAGAAGTCCCCCATTAAAACTATAACTTACTCTTTTTCCAGGCTTGCAACAACACTGTTAACATAATCAAGATCAGTCTGGAAAAAAACAAACACAAAAAACAAATGGACTACTTAACAGTTTCAGAGCTATGCTTTAAAAGAACTCAGTAAAATAGACATTGGAGGTAGCTGTACTTGAAAATCAATTTCAGCATGTAAGCTATTTAAGTACTATAGGAACACAGCACACATGTAACTATGTCTTATGTCTAATGGGAGAAGAAGCAATTTTTTTGTAAACAGAGGCAAATATTTGCCTCGTATCTGCTTTTAAAAGACAGTTCCAATCCAACTGTTGGTATTTTCTTGCAACCTCTCATGCTCTTAATGACAAAATTATCAGTGAGTGTTTGTGTAGGAAGAACTCATATTATTGTTATATAATAATAATATATGAAAATATTACCAAGGAAATCACTGAACGCACACTCTTGTTTCAAAAATAAATCTCCGACACTGCATTTACAGCGTTGATGCCCCAACCATAGAGAGCAATGAACATATTTTCCTGACTAGGGTTGCTTTTTTATGTCAGTGATTAAACTTGAGGAACTAACAATCACCTGGTTCTTAAAGATGCACAGATTCTAAAAATTCCTTGTTGGTTAAAATATAAATTGTAACATTCTGGAAAAGTCTAGATCACCTCACTGGCCAGAACTGGCCAATTATTCAACCTATTCACTTGGTCATACACATGCATTCCAGAAGAGAGTTTGTGAATTCATAAATGCAACTGAAAATCCTGATCTTTGTTATACTTGCTAATCTAATAATTTGACATACTATTTATCAGTTTTCAAAAGAAAATTTGCAGTCTATAAATTAACCCAGATTCTGGTGGCTCATGAGGATTCAGCAGAAACAGCTGCCTTTGAAATGCTGGAAATAAAGGAACAGTTCATACTTTTCCTGATTAATTTGTAATGCAGATCATCATTAAAGGATTATACACACAGAGAATAAATCCCTCCCACGCATTTCTATAGAACCACTAATCCCGTTTGATAAAGGTGCTTACCCTTTGATCTTAAAAATCACCATTCCTATTTTTAAAGATTTATTTTTATAAAATCCAACATAATGCCAGTGACGCACACTTTTCCAAAAAGGACAACAGTGGGTTTCTTCCAAAAGCAAATTCTAGATACTAGAACAAAGCATTTGTCATAGATTTTTCAAACATATTTTCTTCATAAGTGCTATGCCTAGTGCTGGACAGAAGTTCTAATAAACAGATAAGGTGTTCATAGTTTAAAACTCATTCTGCAGCGAGTTCTACACAAGCAGACTCGCAGGTCCATATGGACATTGATATTTCACTAAGTCTTTAAATACACATCTGGATTGTTCACATCCAGTTTATTACTGCAATGGAGTTTAAGGCATAACTTTGTATTGTGTAACAGTTGCAAATCAGTGACCTAGTGACTACCTAAAAACAATTTTAGTATACCAGTCTTTAACAGAAACATGTGGGATTTTTTTCTCTTTTTTTTAAAAAAAAAACAACCTTTTAAACATTAAAAATACAGAAATTGTTGTTTAGTCGGTACAGAAAAAAAGACAAACAATTTGAATTTCCAGCTGGCATGCCAAGCTTCAATTACCCAGTCTAACACTAATGACTCAAATACTTGTTAAACAGTCCATACTGTAACTGCATAGGAAAATGCAATGATTTCATATATACATATATACACACACACACAAAGCAGAAACACAGCTAGTTTATATAAAGTATTCCAGAGATTAAAATAAATGCGAAACTTCATCCCAATTGGAAGCATGTATTTGGTTACAATCCTGTGCCTTACTGCAAGTCTCCTTAGAGTGAACAGTTTTGACAATGAACCCTTGCTAGTGCGATTAAAACCTTACACACTAAACAGAATGCACCACAATCAGAAAAAAAAGAAAGTCTGGAATAAGAGGGATTTTTCCCTACTTCCCCTTATTTGTTTGTGTCCTTCACACAAAAGTTAGCAGTTTCCCGGTTAGAGCTGCAAACACAATAGCTTCACATTAAAGCCTGACTTCCAATCTTATATTGCAACCTGTGCTGCTGTCACACAAAGTCAAGATGGTCTGGTCTAGCTGCACGAAATACAAGACACACCAAATACCACTCTCGGTTTAGTAGGCAACCTTCCTTCTGAATCAACAATCACTATGCAAGCGCATAGTGCAAGAGGAGATGCCGCTTTTAGAATGAAAAAGAATATTGAGATTAAAAGAGCTGATGCCATTTTTCACATGAGCAAAAGCATTAAAAACTTGATGTCCTGCCATTCTTTCTAAATAAGCAGTTGTATTTATATCTACCAGCAGCATCTGAGATTCAGAAGCAGGATTTCAAGATCAAACTCTTCCCATCAGGATAGCAGGTTGATTGCCATCTTTCCACATCAGAATTTCCAAAGGCAACCAACTCCTCTTGTCACCCAGCCTAACACTAAGTGGGATCTTTGCCAACACCCTTCAGCTGTGGACATGTCCCACAAAAGTGGCACTTGTAAGTTATTTCACACAACCTCATGAAATAAATATGAGAATATGCAATAAATTTGATCAAGCTGTAACTAGATCTAAAGGAAGAGTTAACTATACAGATGACTTTGCAGGGTAGCAATGGAAGGAAGTGTGGAATAGCCTGATAATTGCTCTAAACTAAGGATCTGCCATGCCATATCAATCATTTCAGCTAGTAACTGAAAAGTCACAGGAAAAAAAAAATCTATTATTGACCAAAATCTATTCCGTTTTTGAGGAAGAAAGCATTTACTGTGTCAACAGAATAAGACCTAAGGTCCTCTTTATCAACCTGCACGACACGAGACAGCTGAAAATAATTATGAACTTTATATAACAAGGAGAAGTAACGCTCATGTCTTCTCCAAGAACCTTGAATAGAACAAAACAAATCCAGAGTGTAACTGTACTTCAGACTTGCAGTGGAGATCATCTGGTAGACATCAGGTTGGCTTTGGGGCAGCTACTATGAACTTAAATAGTTCCATGTATCAGTGCTGTTTGCAGCTATTGAAAGGAAATGCCACTGGTGATCCCAAATAAAGTAGCACAACCTGTAAGACTACAGCTATGAATGTTTTTGTCTAACAAATCAGAAGGCAACAACAAAAACAGAATTTTTCCTTAGTAAAACTCTTGAGGTTAAAGATTAAATAAACCCTCAGAGTTTGGAACCCCAGAAAAAGAAGCAAAACCGAACATTTTAAGAAGTAATCCTTTTAAAGTTATTAAATGAAAAACTGCGATAGGCCACAACCCAAGCGTTAACAACGCCAGCCACACAGATGCATCTTATCAATGAATCACATGGAGCCTTACAAACCAGTTTGTCCTGTTAGGTGGATCCCTGGGAACTAATTAAAGGCAAAGGTAGGGGTGGTTATTTCAATATCAGCAGTTCAAATCTTTCCACCTGTTATTTCTTCCTAGTCATATGCAATTACTGATCTCTGAGAAAGCAAGAACACTTGGAGCAAGACATCCTCCTTTTTCATTCATACCAGATCAGACCAAAGATTGATGCAGCTCAGCACCTTGCTTCCAGCAGTGACAGCCATGAACAGATACACAGCAAAGAATAAGAAAATGACAAGCATACACAATATTCCCTCCTGCTACCATCCACACTCCGACTACCTTCAATCCAGGCTACTTCCTGAGACAGATGTCATTCTGTGTATTTAATATTCTTCACTAGACTCCTCTTCAAGGTAACCTGCCAGTATCCCCTTGAGCCTATCTAAACTTCCAGCAAGAAAAGATTTTAGCTTGAGAGATCCATGGAGTTTCAATAAGCCTATGAACATGGCAACATATAAAGTTTAACTCCTTGCATCAGCAATTTTGATGAGACACCTACAAAGTGCTTTGATGAATCTAAAAGAAAACTGGGGGGCTGTTGTGGAACAAACTGCAGTTTCAGACTGTCAGTGAAAGAAGTTGTTAAATTTCCTCACTTTTTAGTAAGATGCTGCCCTACAATTCTCTAAAGTGCCTTCTCTAGTTCAGGTGAGGCTGTGTTTCAAATTTGCAATTGTTCCAAGGTTTGTCTGATCCTACATTGTTATTCATAACAAACACATAAAGAACCAGAGCAGCAATGAACTTTCCAATCTTTTGTATTGATTTTCATGAGCGTGTGTGCATAGCAAAGTAGTAGAATACATTACCTAGCAAACAAAACGAGAGGTTGAAAAGTTATTAGCAGCGAGCCAATTCTCAGACAAACCAAGATTTCTAGTTTCAAGAATCAACACTTTCACACTGTTAACTCCTACCTACTTCATACCTTCAAGAGCGACAGAAGGTGGACTGTTTCTCAAAACGTAGGGAAAACCATGGGATTTTAGACCAAAGCTCTATCTACTGTCCTAGCCAGTAGTAGACGCATAGAAAAACAAAAAGATGCAATCATAGAATATCTCAAGTTGGAAGGGACCCATAAGGATCATCAAGTCCAACTCCCTGCTCCTTGCATGATGGTCTAAAACTAAACCATATGACTAAGAGCATCATCCTGATGTTCCTTGAACTCTGATGGGCTTGGTGCTGTGACAACTTCCCTGGGAAGTCTGTTCTAGGGACCAACCGGCCTCTAAGTGAAGAACCTTTTCCTAATGTCCAACCTGAACTTCCCTGAACGCAGCTTCATTCCATTTCCTCGTGTCCTATTGCTGGTCACCAGAGAGAGGAGAGACCTCCTCCTCCACTGCCTACCTTGAGGAAGTTGTAGACTGCGATGAGGTCACCCTTCAGCCTTCTCAAAGCTGAACAAACCAAGTGACCTCAGCTGCTCCTTCTAAGTTTTGCCCTCGAGGCCTTTCACCATCTTGGCCACCCTCCTCCAGACACACACTAATAGTTTGATGTTCTTCACCCAAAACTGCACACAGTACTTGAGATGGGGCCACACCAGTGCAGTGTAGAGTGCAATAAACAGGGCACATACAGAATTAACTTTCCTTCCTTTCATATACCTCCCAGTTCTTGGTAATCAATAGTTT